GAATCCATTTGCTCAGTTTGGTCGCCCAGGAGGTCAAATGCAGCCTTCGATGGGTGGCCGAACGCCCTCCAACAATCCTCTTGGGCCTATTCCTGGTTCTCCGCGCGTCAGTGGTGCAAGCCGCGGAGGATCCCGTGCTGAGAGCAAGCGCTCAAAGCAAAATGCTAAGCAACATCAGGAAGAAAACAAGTCCATGCCTCTTACTGCTGGTATGTCTATTACGGCTCTTGAAACCTCATCTACTGGATGGAAACCAAGGAGTCTCACTCAGCCCATCGTTTCCGGCCCTGCTCCTGGTGGCGACGGCTTGATGGATCCTGAGACTGTGCAGCGCAAGACAAAGGCACTTTTGAACAAGATGACCCCTGAAAAATTCGACAGAATATCGGACCAAATTTTGGACATTGCGGCTCAATCCAAACACGAAACTGACGGCCGGACGCTGCGTCAAGTCATTCAGCTCACTTTTGAGAAGGCCACTGATGAAGCTCATTGGGCAGGCATGTACGCCTCGTTCTGCCGACGCATGTTGGAGAGCATGAGTCCGGACATCAGAGACGAGGGAATCAAGGACAAGAACGGCAATGTCGTGACTGGTGGTAACCTGTTCCGAAAATACCTGCTCAACCGCTGTCAAGAAGAATTTGAACGCGGTTGGAAGGTCAATCTACCACCCCGACCTGAAGGGGAATCCGAAGAAGCCGTCATGCTGTCGGACGAATACTATATCGCTGCGGCTGCCAAACGCCGTGGTCTCGGTCTCGTCAAATTTATTGGTGAACTGTTCAAATTGTCCATGTTGACTGAGCGAATCATGCATGAGTGCGTTAAGAAGCTCGTGGATTATGAGGGTACCCCTGATGAAGCCGAAATCGAGAGCTTGACCAGCTTGCTGCGAACGGTCGGCAAACAGCTTGACAACCCGGAGAGCAAGGCGCAAGGAAGGATGGACCTCTACTTCGAGCGCATCAAGTCCATGATTGACCTGCCAGAGCTTCCCAGCCGTCTCAGATTTATGCTGATGGATGTTATTGACCTACGGGCCAAGGGATGGGCCTCTAAGGAAGACAACAAAGGTCCTAAGACCATCACCGAGATTCGTGAGGAGGCCGAACGCCAGGCACGTGAGGACGAACTTAGACGACTTGCGAGCCAGACCGGCGGCCGTGGCGGTGGAGGCCGGATGCCAATGGGTCGTGGCGACGCCCGAAGCTTCAGCGGCTTCGGAGGACAAGTCCCGCCTCCTGATACATCGAATCGAGTGGGGACCGATGACCTTCGAAAGCTGGGTAACCGTAACGCTCGCCACCCAAGCCATACGTCTGGTCCCGGTCCACTGGGTCCGCCTAGCTTGATGGGTGGGCGGACCAACAGTGGGCGTCGTGGACTGGGACCTGGTGGTCTTTTGGGGCGAGGAGACGACAGTGCTACAAGTAGTCGCACCGGAACACCACCGGCTCAGAAAGACAAGGAGAAGAAGGATGAGTCTAGCACGAATGCTTTCAGGTAAGCCCATACAACCCCCATCATTAGGACCACCCAAAAAGCTGACATTTTTGGCAGTGCTCTTGCCGCTCTCGAGAACGACGGACCATCATCGCCACCATCTAATCCCGCTTCACCCCCCGTGCAGAAGTCGCAGCCAAGCATCGAACGAGGACGATCGAGATCACCGGACAAAAGCGCCGCGTGAAAGACACATATTCCCGATCAAAAACATGTGTACAACATAATACGATTCGATTACACTAATATCTGACTGACGGCCGCTTGTGGGGATGGATAGAAGGAAAGATGTGCATTGATACCCCGGCGTGAGCAAAGCCACCTGTTTAGCATTTACAGCGCCACGAAAAAGCGGTCCGTTTGTTTTTCTCCCGATTCTCGTCCATGTAAGATCACAGCAGATTTTGGCAACCATGGATCTGAGAATCGCACTTCGAGCCTTCGATTCGAGCACGCGGAAACGCGGGATAGAGAGTGTGTTTCTACTCAAAAGAATTCATTATGCATAGGGTTGATTTGAGAAATTGCGGCAGGGGTCTTCCATCTACTGGTTGGTTGGAATCACGCTACGGCTTGGTGGAGTAATGGTGGAAACCCGCAAATAGACGTGCCGTGGAGAGCTGTTCGTCAAGCGAGGATGTGGCATAGTTGAGAAGAGACCAAAGATGGGAAGCAGCTCGACCTCTCTCGATCGCAACTACTCAATCGTCAGAAGGAGGGCGGGCATATTTCCTTGAGCTGGACGAGGTTCAGGTCGAGCGGTTGGGTTCCAGCTCATCGGCGATATGGTCGTCATCAACAACAACAGTCGATCACCGTCGAGCGGCATCCATGGTTCACAGGAGAAGAGCTTGTGGATGGCGCCTTCTTGTACTGTATATTGACGAATATTCAAACTTTTTCGTTTTAAAAGTTCGGGGTTTCGGTTCTCTGCTACTATGCTACTTTGGCCATTGGAGATAGTGGTGGTGTTACTAGCCTGAGACAGAGCCAGAACTCTTCATGCCTGACAGCAGTGCGTTTTAACTATGCGATACTCGGAACAAACACTACTGCTCAAACCAGCAAGGAAACCCGGACGTAAGACGGATCCCATCAATTCAATTTGCAGACGTGACGTTCTTCGCTTGGTCCCTTTTGAGCGCTTGTCCCCATTTTCGAGCCTCGTCCGCCTCCTTCTTTCTCAGTATTTCTTCCATGTCGTACTCCTTCTCAATGGCATGTCGGTGCCTTTCCTCTCTCTCCTTTCTTTTTGCCTCCCGCGCCTTCCTCCTCTTGGCCCGATCAATGTCGTCGTTCCGCTCGCGGTGTGCATCGTCGCGCAGTTTCCTCTGTTCCTCCCGTGTCAATACCCAGGGTTTAGAGAGAGTCGACAGGAGGAATTGTGTGCGTGAGGCGATCAATGCCATTTCATGGTTTGTGGTGAAGAGTATATTCAGACGCAGGAGGGAGAGTTGCCGCGTGGAGCGGAATGTAGAGAGGGTGCCTTTGGCTTGCACGGTGGATCCGATATCGAGTAAAGACAGGGTGCGTTGAAGCTGTGCGTCTTCATCGATTTCCTCATCTTCTCCCGAGTTGGGATTGGACTTTGGCTTCGAAGTTGGATTTTGGTCCACCGGCTTCACAGCTCCTGTTGCGCGCCTAGGCCCTGTGTTGCCTGGTCCGGTGTTCAGATCGGCTTGCTTCTTCTCTGGTTTGGGACATGTCACATCGATGATGGCCCCGCTGCTATCATCAATCTTGAAAAGCCAGAACTTCTCAAAGTAGTCCTCCAGTGAGACCACTACACCAACCACCTGAACAAATTGGATGGGATGGTTGAGGTAGAAGAGGAGTAACGGCGGGTCCTTCTGTCGGCCGTGGATGTCGCTACCTTCAGCCGCTAGGGGGGTAGTGACCTGAGAAAACTTCTCATGGCGTTCCAACACGGTGTGGATGTCAAGACAGGTCAGTTTCACCCATTTCGACCAGGTTGCAGACGCCTTGAAGGCATAGGCTGGGTAAAAGGTCAAATCGCTGCCCTCTTCCGCAGGCTGTTTGGTGGTCAAGCCTACGACAGGGGGTCCACCAGCATGATGCTTCTGCAATTCAAGACCAGGACGAGGACGAGGATCAGAATGAGGTCTCTGCATTCATTTGCGAAGCTTCACATAGTGGACAGCCCGGGGCTGTTGCGGAGGTGTGTTGGAGGTGCGTTGGCAATTGCGAACATCGGCGTCGACGCGCCGATGAGCGCAGCGAGGGCGGTGAGCGGGCAGAACGCGCGTGTGGAGATACAAGTGAGAAAGGCTGTAGAATTGGAGAAGAGGCGGTGGGAGGGACCCCCGTAGGTGTCAGGAGGACCACAGAATGCCTATTCTCGGGCAGCGGGTGTGTGAGAGGTGGCTGAGATTGCAGAATCGGAGTCTGTCCGGCTCATCGGCTCAAGCGGCAAACCTGAGGCAACCCCCAACTACCCCCATTGCACCCCCACAGCGAGTCACAATTTTGTAATGACATCCCCCAACATTCTCATTCTGGTGCACAATGGTTCATTCACGTGCAGAATGACGATAATGACAGGAATTTCTCATCGGGACCTCCTCTCTCACCAATTCCCACTCCTCAATACCACCATATCATCATGAATCTATCATTGCATCAACCACGGAGCCCAAATTCTGCTGCAGTCCCGCTAGGGCTGCGGTTGGGTATCCCGCCCAACTAGCTGACCAGCGAGCCAATACATGGCGAGGCATTTGACGGGCCTCCGCGACCGGCTAATGTCCCTCCTACCTTTTCCTCTGTCCTTGTCAACCCTTTTATCTGCCACTATGATGCTATGGGAGAGTTCTGGATCTCTTTTCCCTCTCATTCCTCTCTCCCTCTCTGTCTCGGCGTTCTTGGACTCTTGGTCTACAAGCAATATAGATCCATCGCCAAGAGACTGACCCGTGATCACTCGAGGGCGATAGGCAAGGCCTAGAGTAACAGTCGAGATACCCGATCGACCCCACCGAATCCACGAGACAAGCATTGGCAGAGATTCTTCTTGCTCGCACCGAGCACGCAGGCTGAACTTGATGTCGAGAGGCTCCTTTGATACGGATCAGCATGGCTCACAGGTCCAAGCACCGTTAGGAGACAAGAGCCTTTCATCAGGGTCTCATAAACACCAAGACATACAAAGCGTTATTCCATGCGCCGAGACGCGGCTATCACCGTCGCAAAGTGAAGCATCCGAATCCAATGACCATGGCCCCCTCGAGAGGATACCCACCACTCGAGATGAGCTACCAGATACCGTCCAGGTCGAAAGAACAGCCACCGATACTGCTGGTGGACCAGTCCATTCGGTCTTTACAAGGAATCAAAAACTATTCATAGTGTTTATGGCGTCGTGGGCTGGGTTCTTTTCTCCTGTGTCCGGACAGATCTATTTCCCAGCTCTGAATGCATTAGCGAAAGATTTGCATGTTTCCGATTCATTGATTAACTTGACTCTGACCTCTTACATGGTACGCTATCTTCTCCCCCCCCGTAGACCGGTCGCGCTGGAAGTTGACTTGACCCTCGTTACCAGATCTTCCAAGGCCTTGCCCCTACATTTGTTGGAGATCTCGCTGATGCTGCTGGTCGGCGTCCCGCGTATGCCGGTATGAACATTGGTCTCCGGGCTCAAGCTTCCACTAATTCGCAAAATAGTTTGTTTTACTATATACATTCTCGCCAACATTGGCCTTGCACTTCAGAACAGTTATGCGGCGCTGTTTGTCTTGCGCTGTTTCCAGAGCACCGGTTCTAGCGCCACAATTGCTATGTGTAGCGCTGTTGTGTCCGATGTTGCCACTGCGGCAGAACGAGGCAGATATATGGGATTTACTCTTGCGGGATCTCTGCTTGGTCCTGCTATAGGTCCCGTCATTGGAGGTGTGCTCGCTGAATTTCTGGGATGGAGGGCCATCTTCTGGTTTTTGATGATCATGGGCTCTGCGTTCATGGTCGTTTTCGCAATCTTCTTTCCCGAGACAGGTACGCTGCATGATTGAAGAAAGATCGTACTGATCTACTGACCGCCGGAATAGCTCGCACTCAGGTCGGCAATGGGTCAATCCCACCAAAAGGCTGGAATATGTCTCTGATGAATTACCTGGCAATCCGCAAAGCTCGGAAGCTGCGTCCTCAGGACCAGATGTCGGTGAAAGACGAGCAGCCTCAAAACGAGACGCGGAGGAAAAAGAAGTTTCGTTTCCCCAACCCGCTGCGATCTCTTTACATCATCGTGGACAAGGAAAACGCACTGCTTCTCTTCTACAACGCGTTCTTGTTTGCAGCTTTTTACGACGTCACAGCATCCTTACCATCCCAGCTGCAAGCGATATTTGGCTTCAACGAACTCCAGATCGGCTTGTGCTTTATTCCTTTCGGCTGTGGATCCCTCTGTGCTGCCCTCACAAATGGACAACTATTGGACCGCAATTTCGCCCGTTGGTGCAAGAAACTTGGAGTGAAGATCCGGAAGGGGCGAAATCAGGACCTCAGCAATTTCCCGATTGAAAAGGTGAGGTTGCAGGTTGCCATTCCTGCAGTCTACTTCACGTCAGTGCTGGTGCTTGCGTTTGGCTGGATATTGGATGTCAATGGGCCACTCCCGGCACTGCTTGTCGTCCTCTTCTTCACGAGTTTCACCATGTCGATCGCGTTCAACGTGACCAGCACACTCTTGGTCGATTTCTATCCTAGAGCGCCTGCCACGGCAACGGCAGCGAACAACCTAACGAGGTGCGGCCTGGGGGCAGGCGCCACGGCTGCCGTGATACCCATGATTGATGCCTGGGGGAGAGGCTGGACCTTTACCTTTTTGAGTTTGGGTCTAATTGCGACGTCGCCGATGCTTTGGGTAGTGTATTTCCGGGGCATGAAATGGAGAGACGAGAGAAGAGAACGAGAGACTCGGGCGCGGGAGCTGAAGGAGGCAAAGTCGGCCCGGGAGAGCTCCGGTGAGAATGGGGGGTGTGTTATGGGAGAAGACGAAAAGCTGCCCCTTGAAGAGGGACCTGTGGTGGACATGGCAGCCGTGGCTGAGAAAGATCAAGACAGGGAACGCCGCTATCACGAGTCATCCAAGGACATGTCCAAAGTACGGGGGGTGGATAAGGGACAGGATAAGAAGGATATTGACGATGTGATGAGTCGCGAAGACCAGGATGTAACGCTATCAAGATCTTTTTCGTATGAGTCTGGATATTGAGTCAGGCGAGCAAGCGAGCAATCAATCAATCAATCAATTACTTGTCAAGAAATCAGTTCCCACTATCACAGCAAGTAGTCACTCCTCTTCCTCCTCCTCCTCCTCCTCCTCCTCTTCCTCTTCCTCTTCCTCCCTCCTCGGCGTGTTTTTCAGAGGATCAATAATCCCCAAATACTGTCGGCAGACCGATTGACACACCGACATTCTGGGCGAACGATCCGATGAGATTTCCTGTTTGACGGTAATCGAGGGAACATTAGCTCGAGTCGAATGTTTGCTAGGAACCAGATCCGCTGGGGACTGGGACTGGTGGGAAGAGGGAAGAGGAAAGGGGAAGGGGGTTTGGTTTTCTCAACACTACATAGTATACAGGCATGTAGGCAGGCACAGGCAGGCAGGCAGGTAGGCTCGTGGATATGTAGGTAGATATGGACAGGTTATACTCACCGGCCGGCGCGTAATTACAGACGGTGAAGAAGGGCGAGATCGGGGGCCCCGCGTTGACCAGTCCCCCACTGCTGCCGGTGCAGTCGGCCGTGTAGCATCCCACGGCGGCACTGGCCTTCCACACGATCTGGGTGAAGTGGCCCCACAGGCCGACGGTGCTGACGTCCGGCTCCGTCCCGTACGCGACGTAGTTGTTCACTTCGCTGTTGTAGAGGCCCTCGGTGACGAATTGGCCCATGCCCAGCGGTGTGCCTGGGTAGCCGGCCCCGATGTTCTGGCCGTAGCCGCCGCCGTTGACGGTTCTGTTTTCCCCAAAGAGAGAAGGGGATGTTAGTTAAGGAGGAGGGAGAGAGGGGGAGGGGTAGGTCAAGGGGAAAGAGCATGGCATGTATATGGGATATGATCAGGAGGAAGAGGAGGAGGAAGGGGGGGGGGCTTTTCTTTACGTGTCATGTCCATAGACACATGTTTCGGCAATCAGTCGAGCCGTGTCGGCCAGGCTCGATGACCACACGAGCGCATCCGCCGAGTGGTTTGTCCGGTGGATGTTGTGGTGGCGCAGGACGGCAGAGATGTATGCGTCGTTGGTCACGACGGGGACTCCCGAAGACGAAGTCGTCGTCGTGGACAGGGTCGAGATGGAACTTCCAGGGGTGTTGGACCCGGGCGAGGTGGTGATGGTCGACGAGGCTGACGTGATGGTGTCGGGAGGCAGGATCGGGCCACTAATGGTCGTGGTCGTGGTAGTGGTCGCAGACGTTGTCGTCAAGGGAGTCGTCGTTTGCAGGGTCGACAAGCCCGTCGTGCTCGTCGGGCACGGGCATGTCGTGATGGTGACAAAGGCAAAGGCCGTCTCGGTAAACGTCGCGGTATAGACGAAGCTGATGCTCTGCGCTATCGCGCCTGCAACGAGAAGGAAGGGAACGAATGCTCGCATCGTGTGTGTGAGCAAAGGAACGACTAAAACTTGCTGAAAATAGCCAGGGGAGGTAAATGAGTGACTGTGGTCAGGTCGCAAAAAACAGATCGGGATCTTCGGTCAAGGATGGGAAGTCCAGGTGTGTAAAAGGTTGATCAAGGTCATGGGTTTTGTGATTGCTCGAGTGTTTGGGTGAGACGTACACGTCCCGCATTCCAATGGGCATCAACAACCCCCTTGGGCTCCAGGCTGGGCACATATGTGGATATCGAAGCACGTGTCCTTCACTTTCTCTTGATGGTGCTCACAGTTGCCGTGGACAGGTTTGTTGGCTCTTCCTTAACTGATATCATGGTCGAGGACTCTGATGAGAGTACAATGCGATGTGTCAAGGGACGGGACCAATGCGCGGCGACAAGGTCAACTTTGCTCTGCATTGAGATAGAAGTAGTCATCGCCATAGCACTGTTCGATAGTCAACATCACCATAGAGAGACTTACCCAATTCTCGGGCGTGAAGCTGGCCCTACAGTCCGTGAAGAGCACCTTCATTGCATGAAGTCGTGTCGCAACATGGCGCAATTCAATTTTAAGTGCCCCTTGCTCTTCAGCCTGCTCCACACGGGCCATGCAACGACGAAAAAGGGAGATATCAGCCACTTGCGGATATGGCCAATCCTCCCGTTGTAGTCGTAGTCCTCCGTCTTCTAGTAACCTGATTATAGAGCCTTCAGGATGCTGTTCGAGGATGCACGAAATGCGAGGTGCACCGCAGTCGTCAAACTGACCTTCCTCGTCCATGGTAGTTCATTCTCCGGCATGCGAGACAAAACGAGCATATGCTCGTTAGAGCACGGCACCCGAGTCCTTCACCTCATCATTCCGCCAGCGGAGCCGCTTCAAAGGAATGAGGACAAAATTCGGTCGTGTAGAAGTCAAGATGTTCTATTTTGGAGTTCGTGGATCGAACCACCAACAAGACGTCTCGATCGACTTGTCGATAGTATCGGAAGGTCGACCGCCCGAGAGAAAGCACCTTGTCGAAGTCCAGGCCATCGACCAAAAGCCTCGGGGTTCAGAAGTCAAAGTTTTCTCGAGAATCTGGCCACGATCAATCAGCATTCAAGAGAAGCCACTCGCAGACCTGTGGGCTTTGAGAATGCGCTATTCTCGTCCTTCAGACCCTGTCAAACCGTACAACGAGGGCCACCCAGATTTTGCGGTGCTCGGCGACTCTGGATTCAAATATGTGTTAGAGTCGGCTATTGGAGTCCATTTTCTTGACATCAACAACTTCGACCGCGCCGACAAGGGCCAAACGTGTTGTAGAGAGATCAATTGGATACCCGGGGTAAGGGGCCGGAACAGACAGCCCCTACGCAATCAGAAGCCTGACTCTGAACACTTCCAAGGATCTCCACGAGTCTCTGGAGTGATGCGTCGGCATATTCACACCGAGCATGTCGACAGCGTTGGATGTCGTGTGGGGCTCAGGGGGCCGCAGTCGCTGAAGCTGAACGGGGATGATGAGATCGCACGTGTGAGTGGACAGTCGGTTCTCACAGCCGGGGTTCCTGGACCATCATGCCAGGGGGCACCACGATGAGGCCCACTGGCGTCTGTGGGCTGAACCCTAAACAAGCGAAGGCTGACTGCTACCATCGTGCTCACAGCCAGGGGCAGTGGGGGAGTTCGTGGCATGCTCTGAGAGAACGGTCCGAGGGCCGTCAAGTGGAGGCCGTGTCGGCGATGTCATATGCGATCCTCGACCGGTCTCATCGGCGACATATGTGATGCTAGCAGAGCGACCAGTCACAACTGAAAGCGGCGTTCGAAGCCCCCAAGCAGACCCAGAGGGATTGTTAGATTCCACAGCTGAGAGCGCTGCCATGCCGGAATAGAATTTGAGGTTTTGATATTGTCCACTCACAGGGAAGTTTCATCACGGAGTCAACATTAGTACAAGACGTTTATGGCCCCGTTGCCCTCGGATGGGCAGCATCCGGAGTAGGTTTGTTGTAGAGCTGCAACCCGGATCGACCTCATACCGAGCTGTTCTCACCTCTACCAAGGGATGACAAGGGGTAACAAGGTTGACCTGGGTGCTCCGCCGTCAATGCCACGGGGAGATGCTGCTCCCCGTCACATATGGCCCTTTTGGAACAGGACAACTCGTGACTGGAATTCATGAAAGAGCTAGCCTGAAAAAAGCAACTGTTCGTGCCAAAAGGGCCGGGCTGAGGTTGAGCAAGGGATTCATATACCCGATGAACGATATAGAAACTTAGATAACTCGGGCGAAGGATAGCCTTGTGGTCGAGGGCCATAGAGAGAAGTAGTCATTGGCTAGCTTCTGCCGCCGGTCGGCCACCCCGATGACTTACCTAAATGAGCTCAAAGGCCGATATCTTTCAAAGAGAGATAGTAATGGTCGTTGACCGCCCAGTCTGTCTTCGATGAGATGATGTTCAGTCACCGGAAGAGTCGGGGAGGCCGCATCAAAAGTCAGGCCGCGAGGTTACTATAGCGGTTGCGATTCCCGCGCAGAACTAGCCGGAGTAAGGATAACCGTCGCGGGGAGTTACTGATCAGAGGAAGCGAGGACGATTATCGACACGCATCAGGCAAAGAAAAATCCCGAATTGGAAATCGGGATCGAACGGTGCTAGTCTAAACAGGGTTTAGCGGGCCTGATGAGGGAGCGTTTCTATTTTTACTTCCCACGTTGTCGGAGAATTCCCCACGGATCAACACACTGGTAGGTAAGTGGTATCCTGGGCTCTCTGATCTGAGATATCTCCTGTTGACAAGTGGGGTGTCAGGCCAGGCGGGTCTAGAACATCGAATAGTCGATTGACTGACAAAAGGGACACGGGGTTATGAGAGTCTGCCTCGCAAGTCTATCACAAAATCTGCCTGATTCGGAGTGAGCGTGCTGAGGAAGACAATAGGCCAGTCGGAACAAAGGTTAATCCAGTCCCGGCCCGCTGCGCCCCGCCCAGCCGCAGTTGGGAACATTGGGAATATCGGTGAGGAGTCAGTCATCACATGTGCAACAATATTGAGGGGAAGGGAACTTGTGGTGGTTGTCATCACTGTCGTCACCAAATGCTCGTCGCCCAGAGAGACATGCATGGTCCATTCGTCATGTGGGTTTGCTGAGAGCACGGAACATCATGGATCCGGTATCGTCCATTCGAGGTATTAACATCGCGTGTGGAGACTGTCCATGTGCTCATTCCTTTTCTTAGATAGACTTGTACTTGTGGTTGGATATACGGGAGGTGAGGTGACCAAGTTCGCACGTTACTAGCTCGCCAATGCATGGTTGCCTTTTGCAATACAGGAAGGTGCGTGGACCAGATTGTCTGTGACTCTGATACTCGCGTATCGCATAGTAGTCTTGCACCCCTTCCCCTTTGGAAGCACGTCATGGAAACAACGGATCCTGGTTCAATTGCCGTCTGCTGTTGCATTTCCCTTTCTTTAGTCTGGTCGCCTACACGGGCGAGAAATGACCAGTATGATCCATGTACTCGGTACAGATCACTCGAAGCAAGTGTAACGGGATACCTACCCAGATACTACCGCATGAACGACGCGATAATGAGGACAGTGATTGGATGAGGGGGACCGGAAGGGACACTTTCCTCGTCCAAAAGGAGAATTTCCCTCCTTCCCTGAACTGCGCCTTGGTGTGTGATGGGTGGGAATGTGTTTGTGCGGGAACGGGTGCGCAGAGGGCAAACGATGATTCGACAGCCAAGATGATCTAGTGCGTTCATAGCCTAGCCTCTCCAAACTACCTCTTTTTCCACCCAAAGTGTGAGCACTAGCACCATCAACTCCCCACTCAAGCTACACCGTTGGCCTATCCTAACACTCAGCTATCCGTGCTAATGCATGTCTTTGCAGCCTTAGCCAGCCCTAAAAGCCACGCCGCACGTCTTTCCATCGACTCACATCGTTGAATTTAGCACACCAACCCAAAGATTCTGGCGACCGACTTTCCCCTTCGCTTGTTCACTGCCCACTGAGAAGTGTAACATGACGCCTCCCGCGCCCTTTGTGCCATCTGAATGGTTCCATACCCTTGCTTGGCCTTCCTCGTGTCAGGGACGGCAAACGGGACAGGGACAGGGACAAGGGGGGCAATGCAAAGCCCAGGGCTCACCCTTCACGAGGATAAGGCCACAAGGCCATCAGGATCTCCCAGTGGCTGCCTGAGGCTGCGGACTCCATTTTTTTCCCACACTGGGCTTTTTTTTTTTTCAAAAGTCCATTTCCTAGTAGAATCCGTCAGCCCTACGAGCATGGCTGGGTCAGGGGGGGAAAGGTGGAATACGATGACCCAAGACCTCTAGGGACCTTTGGTCGCCTGTTTCCCTCTCCCTTCTTTCGGTCATGCGTTGAATGGATCCCCCCATCATCCCACAGGCGAATCTCGCAGCCCACTTGCTACTACTACTACTACTGCTACTGTACGAGTACGGTGAGTGTAGACTTAGCATCAGCCCCCAAATTTACCTCATCGCGGTCAGGAACCCTGGGATCTGTCACATCCGTCCAAAGGGTTCACTGATCGTGTACCACCACTCTAACCCGTTTCCTCGTCAGGCCCATCTACGTGGGTCGCTGGCTTCTTACACCATACACATTACCACACACCACATCCCAGAAAGATATATATCTCTTTTCTCATCCCCCCCTTCAGAGGTGTCGAATATTTCATTCCCATCACACATCAACACACACATTCCTTCATAAGCAAAAAACCCATTTCTCATTATTTTCTTAATCTCTTTCCTTTGTCCGCGCATTGCCAGAGTTTCCAGTTCAACACACACACACACACGCACACCTACACAGCCAAACCCAGATTTGAGGTATACACCATACTTTCCTTATTTCTGTTTTTTTCTTTTCAGTCGTCCTGAAGTACAACTACAACACCAGTCCCATCGACAAAAAGCAGAAACCAAAAGCCCAAGCCCCATCTCATCTATTTCCTTGTTGTCTTTTGTCTCTTTATCTATTGGATTGCGCGCCACTTGTCTGCGACACCCATACATTATCGCAGAGCCCAGCGCCCTCGACCAGACTTCATTTCAAGCCCCAAATCTCAAAGCAACCATTTATTTCCTCGTGTTTTTCATCCCAACCACACTCGCGATCACAATGGCTCTCGGACGAGGCGGATACAACACCCCGGCTGCTCCCCAAAAAGGTCGCGGGGGTTACAACAGACAGGGCCGTGGAGGATACAACAGGATCCCCGTCGTCCAAGGTCGCGGTGGATACAATCGACAGCAGGCTGCCCAAGGTCGTGGCGGATACAACTGAACCGTCCCGGTGATTCCCATTCCGCCGAAACGACGACCCCATATCAGGAACCGTGTTCCATCGCTCCACCCATTCCTTCGACATGTGACGCTTGACTTGCGTGATCCCGGCTTCGATCACTTTCCACTCTTTCGACATTGTCCCAGCTCTTGACGAGCATGTGATTCTCTCTCGACGGCTTCATTTTCCCACGCAGAACCTGTACAACACAAAAAGCTCAGCAATCTGCACATATCCGTCATCGACACTTAGCGGCATTTCTCGGAGTTTTTTTCTTTTTTTTTCTCGATTTGGTATATCATCCCACCACTTTTTGCTCGGGCAGCATAATTGGGAAGCATAATTCGGAAACAAGGCGCAGGACCGCCAAAATTGTTTGACGACATTCAGGAGTTTCAGGCACATATGGGATATTAATGGAATTCAGGAAGGGGCTTTGCTTAGGGGGCAGTTCTTGGCATTGGGTGTTTTTCTTTTTTGCAGTCTTTCTTTTGGATATAGTCCCACATTCTTTTGGAGACTTGGAAGGGAATAGGGAGCTTGAATGGGCACAGCTAGCCCAAAGTATGGACCAACAGGACGGATTCGAGGCCAGACGAAGCCCCAGAATTTATGCAGACAGATCGGGAGATAGATACCCCAGAACCAAAGTGTGACCACGAAATGTCATTGTTTTGAACCTTCAAGACCCTTTTCGGACAGCGATTGCCCATTGGAAAGGAAAACTAACCGCAATAAACAGTCACTGAGAGAAGAAAATGGTCACTCACTTTTCGAAGACAACTCCAAGGATGTCCTCCACATCACCGGATCCTCCCTTGCCCGTGATTTTGGCGAGGCAGTCGGCGGCGAAACGGAGATGTTCCGCTGCAGTCACGATATCGACTGCACCATCCGTATCCCCATTTCCAACGACCTGTGCTATATTTGGAGCAACAAGGTCATTGTGGCGATCAGTGCGGTAATCAGTGGCAGAATCAGGCGAATCGGAGAATTCCGGGGTATCTATCTGCAGGTGAGATTGCGGCCGTGACTGGCTCTGGGCAAGGAAGTCCTCGAGATGATGTAAGCACTGCGAGAGGTACGTGGTCTGCCGATGCGTGACTGAAAGGGACGTGGTCCAGTAGGACTGCGCTTCTGCCGCAGTCAGTTGCGCTTCCGCAATGTCTTCGCTGGCTGACGGTGTCGTCAACTCCATGAATGAGCTGGTTAGTTGTTTGAGGAATGCTTGGATCCCACCTGGATCGGAGCCGACCACGTTGCTTGTCGCATCTTTGCAGGATACCAAGCAAATCCGTCGTTCAGGGACAGTTGGGAATATCTGATGGATCCGTGTCTGCAAGGCTATCATGCCTTCTTGTTTTGGATCATCATGCATGCCGAGCAGGTCAATCTTATTTAGAACAACGAGAATAATCTTGCCGGCAGCATCGCATTGTTGCACAGCCTCAAGTACTTCTCCGTTGACAGGGACTTGCGGGTTCCCATCTTTATCCATTTCGACGGGCAATAGAACCAGAACAACGTCCGATTGTAATGCCCGCTCCCGTGCTCGACGGATGCCTTCGAGTTCCACGGCGCCGACAAGTTGCTGCTGCTGCTGCTCTCCGACAGTGCCAGTGGCGCGGAGTCCGGCCATGTCACCAAGTCTGCATAGCCAACCATTGAGATCGATCGACACGTCAACAATGTCTCGAGTGGTCCCTTCTTCGGCGCTGACGATTGCAGCCTCTCGGCCAACGATCTGGTTGAGCAAGGAACTCTTGCCCGCGTTTGGTGCCCCCAGGAAAGCTACGTTGATGCCATTGCGCAGTAGTTCCCCTTTTGAGGCATTCCGAAGGTGAAGCTCAATTTGTCTCTTCAGTGCTTGGACCTGCTTCGAGATCGAGGCCACAAACTCGATTGGCGACTCGTCGAAATGTTGGTCCTCCGAGAAGTCGATCAGAGCCTCTAGCTCCCCTCGAGCATATAGCAACATGGTACGCCATTCTTCGTATCTTTTCGCGAGTCCGCCATCTGCGCCGCTGACAGCTAATCGCCGTTGTTGTTCGGTCTCGGCTGCGAGGCTCTCGCCCAGGGCTTCAGCCTGGGTGAGATCCAATCTTCCATTGTAGAATGCCCATTTTGTGAACTCGCCAGGTTCGGCATGTCTCACTGTTCCTTCTCTTCCGTGCATCAAGTGCCCACATCTCGCTATGGCGGCCAACACCGAGCGAACAATGGCAGGGCCACCGTGGACGTGGAACTCCAGTACATCCTCGCCGGTCACCGTGTTGGGCGCAGGGAAGTAAAGGACCAATGAGCCAGTATCAAGGACTCGGGGATCTGAGGATCGTGCGGTTTCGGGATCGTAGAGCTTTCGTAACGCCGCGGTGCGAGGTCTAGGGAGTCCGCGATTCGGGCAGAGCTGTTGATAAATCTGCAAACATGCCGGGCCGGAGATGCGGATAACGGCTATAGCAGCTCGGCCTGAGGCAGTAGATAGTGCATATATTGTATCGGAGGTCGTATGCTGGCTTGCTCGCGTAGACCATTCTTCTAAATCAGGGACTGGCGCAGAGGACGACCGGCCGCGTTGGAGCGGCTGAGATGAACTCCAGCGCAGGGCGTTCAACCCACGTGGCTGAGCGAGACATCTTCGGAAGACGGAGGAGAAAAGGTAGTTTCTACTCAAGCTTCGGAATCCTATGCGATATAGCATTCGAACAGCTTCGTCTTTGAATATGTGATGCGAACGACAATCACGCGGGATTGTGAGGGTGAGAAGGACAATGGAGAGGCTTGGCAAGGGGCTGCTCGCTCCGCGCCATATCATTCAGGAAACGGCTGATGGATATCTACGCATACACGGGTTTTCGACATCACCAGGTGTAGATACAATCAGAACAATCTCTACATAATTGGGTCGTCATTCTTTTTATTACATACACAGACACCCTATCTCGCCGTCATCCAGGACAAGTCAAAAAAATTGGGACGCCGTGATACGATCTGACAATGAAGCTAACCAAACACAACAACACATGACCAATGCCCCTGCTCGAGCTTCCCCAACTGTTGTGCTAATTCGTTGCAATGGCTGTGCTTGTAGAGGTAATTTGAAGGGGCCGTAGGGGGTGGTGTCGAATCGAGGTCATGCACTAGTTCCTGTGAGACGTTAGCATTCGCGCAGTGGAATGGATGATTGACTGACAATAAGCCAAGGGTCAAATCGCCATGAATTTTGGCCTTCAGTTGGACTTCAATGTCTAGGTTAAGATCGAGTCTTAATCTCAATTGTTCGTTGGTCTCGCCGTCACCTTCTTCTCCCTCCCCTTCCTTGCCGCCTTTGCTGTGCAGCAGTCCTCCAAGAGCTTCGTGGGGCTTGCTCAAGGTTTTGCCGACAGTGTCGTTCACGAGGTTTCCGGCGCCGTCAACGACGCCATTCACCGTGTCGCCGACCTCATCAACTGCATCAAGGGGCCCGCCGCCTCCGCCGAGAAGGCCGCCCTTCCCTTGCTGCTGTGTTTGGGCCTGGGCCTTGCCTCTATTCCGGTTTCGGTTCCGTCGTCCGCCTTTCTGGGAGACGTCGCTTCGATATGCGCTGTCAACCTCACTGGGGGGTTCGCTCGAGTCTCGACCGCGACCCCGGCTCCCTCGTCGAGAACCGGAGCGGGCAGATGCTGATGCTGATGTCTGCGGATCCATCTTTGGTTGTGGTGTTGGAGATTCTTCTGGTCCGTCTGCGTCGCCTTCGCCGTCTGCTTTTTCACCGTTGGCTTGACCTTTCTGGCCTAGCTTTTTGGGCTTTCGTCTCTCTTCAGACTTCTTGGAGGAAGCGTTTGCTCCGATGTTTGCAGCTCCTGAGGCAGAGCCAGCAGCGTCGAGGTTTCCGCCAATTTGGGTTTCTTCAGTGCTCTTCGTCTCTTGTTCGGACGACATGGTGGGAAATTGAGAAGGAAGATGTGCAAGGAAGGATGATGATGAAGAGAAGGACAGGGACAAAAAGAGGGCCTCGACGTATGACGACCAGGACTATTGTCCGGGGGAGAGAATCAAGGTTGACCACACCGCTGTCAATTGTAGTTTCAACCCCACACAAGACGTCAGGACGTAGACGACTTGAGTAGTGACCTACATCGCGTGTGCCTCTACACGCACGCTCATGACGTCGAACGTTGCTGCTTTTGAGGGAGGGGGTGTGTGTAACGCCACAGATCGGCGACAGAGTCAGCAAAGGGGGCTTGGGGAACAGGGTTTGGCATGTGCAAAAGGCCAGGGCCGCCAGGTGGCCGCAAGTTGGCTGGCCAATAATTGCAAAGAAGGATCACGGTGCCAGCACTGTGGCTGTTGTGGGCAGGGATCATGGCAGGATACTTGAGAGAGGCGTAAATACAAATGAGGAAACGCACGGACCGCGTTGACTACAGACCTATCCTCAATCGACGACATTGATGTCACACTGTGCATGGAGATGATCTCTTTACAGACCGGAGCATGTTCGTGGTTGTAGTGGCAGAGCAAGGCTTGTCAGATGCCTTTCGGGCCGTTAGTGGTTCTGCCCTCAGCCATAACGGGCCAATCTTTGCCTCCCAGGAGTTGTGAAGTTTGTGCAATAACAAGGCTACTACTTCATACTTTTGTCATTGCTGGAGAGGGGAAAGGTGTTGGTTGCTGATCGAGGGAGACGGATTGAACGAGTCGAACAGCCTTTGCGTCATCCTGCAGCGGGCATCGTGGAGATGGTGGGGCGCCACACCAGCGCCACAGGTCGGCCCCGCCACCACGTTACGCCTTGGCTTGTCTGCGACCAATGATACGTGCTGGCGCCACATGTCATTGGACCCGCTAACCGGGATTCTTCCAAGTATCGAATTCCTAGCTGGGCCTGATCAATGCGCATCTTCTGCCCAAAATCTTGGTCAAGAGTACAGATCGATCTTCATTTGGGACGTCTGCATCTTCGATCATGGTGCACGCAATCCCGCTGCTTCAAGCACGGAAACGCAAGCTCTGAGGTAGGTCGACCCAGAACCGGTCTGGGGAAAATCAGACCCTGGTCACGATGATGTCGTTGTTGCAGCCTCCTTCCCCGAATGCCTTTTTCCGACCTCGTTCTCCCTCGTTTCAACACCAACCCTGCTCACCGTACCAGTTTCCTTCTGGCTCTAATCTCAATCTCTCCCTCTTGAACACCCACCCTTTCCTCTTTCCATATCTGCTAAAAGTCCCTCCTTTCCTTTCCGTGACTTGTCTCCCTCTTCCATCTCCTTGCGGTCACTATGTCGGAGCCACAGCAAACACCTACACCAGAGAATACGCCTGGGGGAAAGAAGCCGAGTCGGCCGGGGCTAGAACGCAGCAACTCTGATCAGTCGACGACGAGCGCGGACGACCAGGGTTACGAATCACGCTCCAGATCTCAGTCCCGACGACGGAGACGACAGAATCAACGACAGAGGCAAGCCCAATCCCGAGCTCAGGCGGGAAATGCTTCTGCAAAATCCATGGCGTCAATCGACGAAGGGCCAGAACCCCAGCAGCAGCAGCAGCAAGTCGCAAGACGGGCACAGCCGACACAAGCTCACCCAAGTGAACAGCAGCAAAATCCGCAGTGGCTGCAAAACCCCGATCCTGTAAGTACCTGCTGAGGCCCAGGGCATCTTTCCAAACGAGTTTGTGTTCTTAAGGCTCACAACATTGGCAGCGGGATATCACAGAGTTCCAACCGTTCGAACGGATCAAGCCGCCTTCGCAATCCATGGCGGGCCCAGTAACATACGCACGCATGATCCGTGGGGAAATCCCATGGCGAGGTCCTCCACCGTCTCAGCCCCTAGAAACTGCACGACCCATCGATGCAAAGGATAGCAGCGGGAAAGATCCTATGGACCAAGAGTACGTATCTCAAAACACCATGTTACGGGTGAAAACATGTCCACAGGACTAACGCGGAAGTATAGTGGCTTGAAGCTCCGATTGGAATTGAACCTCGACATTGAAATTGAGCTCAAGGCCAGCATCCACGGTGACCTGACATTGGCACTACTGTGAGTTTGATCCCCCAAACCCCGATTGTATGGACAATTTGGTCCTAAAGGCTAACGAAGGAATTGATCGTCAGGGCTTGATTTATCGCTGCCAAAAGTCAAGCTGCCCAAACCCAAGCTTCCCAAGTTGTTACCGAAAGTCCCCAAACTACCAAAGTTACCGAAACTACCAAAGCTCCCCGAATTGCCCGACGCCGGAGGCCTTGCCAGGTTATGACGGAAAATGGGAGAAAAATGAGAACTAATGATTTGTTGGAGCAAGCTGCTTTTTTTTTTCATCTCGTCGATCAACCATAAATGTTATGCCAGAATTTAGTCAGGACAAGGGCGTTGGAGAGACCATGGCACATCTGATTCCTCGCTGTACCTCTAAATGTACCACACCTAAAAACCCATTTTGCGATCTCTTATCTCATCAACTCAGTCATTGAAAGCGTTCGCCCTGACCCTGACCCTTCCAGAACTGAATCGGGCTGCCAGGGCTCTTGCTCTCAGGCTCATCGTGAATAGCGGTGTCAAATTCTCCGAACTCTCCTCTCGCACGCTTGACCACTCTCTCAATTCCGTCCATTCCCATCTTCAGCTGTTCCATCTTGGGACCATAGCTAATACGAACGAAGTGATGGCAAGGACTATCGAAGAGATCGCGCCGCTTGGCTGGGTTGAGGTCGAAGAAGATTCCCGGGACTACGATGGTTCGCTCTTGGAGCTGCCGTCATCCGTTAGCCAGTAAGAACTAGGACAGATATTACAGCAATGGTTTTGCAAGACGGGAAACAGTGTCCAAGCAAGCAGGGATCATACCAGTGCATCAAAGAATGACAGTCCGTTAGAGATGTCAAGCGGGCTGTTCTTTGGCAAGGGAGGTTCCAGCGACGCCAAATCCAACCATATGTAAAAGGTCGACTGCGGAATGTTCTGGTCGCCCCATCTGAATCCGATCTCTTCGAGTCTCTTCAGGACGTAGTCTCGCTTCATCTTGAAGTGACTTTGAAGGGCTTTCATTTCAGCCTTGACTTTCGCTTTTGGTACATACATGTTAGTGATGTCGTAGAACACGTTCATGACGAAAGGCTAAGCCTATATTTTCGTTTCGGTCATCAGATCAGGTAAACTCACGAGGGTCGAGCATCGGAACGGCAGCCTCTTGAAATGGTACATTGCAGCCAACATCGAGATAGCTTCCACTTGAGCCGAGCGCCTTGATGAATTCCTTCGGACCAACAATCCAAGCGACGCGCCAGCCTCTGATTTTGACATTAGCACTCGAAGGTGGTTTTGGGAATGGTAGAGCATTGTAGCCTTCAAGCCTAGTACAGGTTCTCGGGAGACTTACGGGAGTCTGAAGCGTTTTGTGAGACCGTCAATTAAGATCACGTCGTCCCGATCAACGTCAATCTGTCAACCACTTGTGAATAAATTTCTTGTCATCAACATCGACCTTATGTCAAAGGTGGTACTTACAACATTAGACGCAGCAGAGATGGTGCTCCCATCGCAGTTGGAGTCGTATCTGATGTCCGTCAGCGAGAAAGATTCATTTTCGGAAAAGACCGAATTTCAAGGAGCAATGCATTCTCAATGCAAGCGCGGGATTCAAGCCATCATTACCTGTAACCAGCGTAAAACTCATCAAAGATCAATGTTGCTCTGTCCCGGCAAATATCTTGGATCAGGGCGAGCTCTTCAGGAACCAAAGCATGGCCAGTTGGGTTACGAGGATTTGAGGTTAAGATGACACTGGTACCGCGCGCCAGCTCGTCGGCGATTTTGTCGGCATGGCTAGGTCATTGTTAGATTCAGATGACTCCTGTAAGATATGGACTCCTGTTTCCCGCAGACTTACATATGGTACCCGTCAGCAGCAGAGAGAGGCGTGGGTATAGCAACAAAGTTGCGAAATAGCGACAACATCTGTGAAGGACCGTTAACTCGTGCTGCATGGATTCGACTTCATTCCGACATCGTTACCTCGTTGTAGGCCGTATAATCGGGAATAAAAAAGCCGAGATACGCATTGCCCAATACAGCAGCGATTCTGATCAAACCTGCTCTTCCTCCTGGTACAATGCACACATTCTCCCACGAGTACTGGCTCTCTTTGCCCTGGCGGTAGTTGTCATCTTCGCGTACCCTCAGATTAGCATCAGTGCAGAATTGATTGAGAGAAGGTGTCTGCGCATCATAGCCTTGAACTGACGAGGCCTGGAGGGGGAACGTACTATATAACTTTGCAACGGCGGCTCGAAGAGGCTTGATGCCAGCCGTTGGCCCATATTCTCGTCCATGGTTGGTCAATGGGATCGAAGTTGGGCGAGGAAAACAGCCGTCCTGCGGTCATGTCATATCAGTACCTGAGCAAGCCTAATTCATTGTCGTTGCTGATAGGGATGGCCGACAAGATGTTGAATGGCACTCACAATATCATCGTCGACTTCAGGCGCACCTTGACCTAGATTGGCCCACTTCTGCGGTTCTTCGAGAAAGCCATGGCGCGCTGCTTGCTCAGTGGTCCTTTCTCGACGTCAGACATTAACTTGTGGAGAAAGAGGATCGCGGTCACTCACCATATGACACCAGTCGAAGCTCTTGAGCTGTCAAGCGCGGCATGTGGCTTGTGACTTGGGTGGTCCCGGAGGGTTCGGTGCGGAGCAGAGACGTTTTCATCTTCAGGATGGATGGAGAAGCGGCGACCATCTTGGCTCGCGTGCAGGGCCGACCTGAGGGTCGAAACTCGTCTTGCTGTAAAGCTCATTGTTGGCTCAGCGGGACTTGGACTTGCTTGGCTCTGTGGCTACGGGGGCCCTGGGGGCTCAGAAGGTGGTGGAGGAGAGGGGCAGGGAAAATCCGTTTGTGGCTAGATATCCAAGATATTACACTGTCATGCCCATTAGTTAAACGAAGGCCTAGAGAGAGCTTGACAAACACTAGGATAGGTACGCTGTTGGTAGAGAATTCGGGACCTTCTTTTTGGAAGTGAGCCGTGAGAGTGGGAGTGCATTTCGCAATGGGAAAAGAAAGGAGCGAAAGTTGTCAATGTCAATAACAGTGCCAGTGCCCACGCAGCGTGCAGCGTCATCGTCTCCTGGCTGGATTCAAAATGCCTTGATTGTCTGGCTAATTTTTCCTTCGGGCGCAACGTGTCCGTCTAAACACATCACCAACTGGTTTCGCAAAGGCAATACTTGACCATTATTCGACAAGTACCAAGTGGCACTCCTTCTAGGGCTTGCTCAGGTCATCCCGCACCCACCATTGACTCCTTTAGGAACAACATTCAGCCCTCTGTCGCCAACCGTTCAATGGCAATATGAACTTCTCGTTAACATTCTCTCAAACAACACTTTGTTCCCAAGGCAGTGTGGCAGTTTGAACACTCCATAGATCCTAGGTGTGCCCCGCCTTTGAACATGAATGCTGACTGTGACCAGCTACTCGGAACTGTTACATATTCTGCCCAATGGAACGAGGGAGTTTCGACAGCTCGGTGGATGCCGAGATTCAGCCAATAATGGAGATGTCCTCAGTTTATCGGCTGGTCACAGGGCGGTAGGGTCAGTCATCGAAGAAAGATATCGTGAATGCATACTCAAAGATGACTCTCGATTGAGACAACCAACCTGACGCCTTTGTTTGCAGCCTGCGCAATAGTCATCTTTGTCGTGAGCAGGAGGTCAATCTACGCTACTGATTTCTCTCCACCATGGGACCGACGCTCCGTGACACCCTCATTTCTTTCAGAAAGGGATACGCGGCCGCGAACCCCAAGTCTCGTCAATACCATGAGGAGGCCTGCAAATACATGCCAGGCGGGAATACGCGGACAGTGCTACACTTGGATCCCTTTCCGTTGACCATCGACCATGGACACGAGTGTTACTTGACAACCGTCGATGGGAGGCGCTATACCGATTTCCTGGGCGAGTATACTGCAGGCATATACGGACACAACCATCCTGTGATAAGACAGGCGATAGAGGACGCAGTGCAGGGTGGCTGGAATTATGGAGGTTGTAACAAGCAGGAGCCGGAACTGGCAAAAATCGTATGCGAGCGATTTCCTGCAATCGAGCTGGTCAGGTTTGTCAACTCGGGCACAGAAGCCAATATGATGGCACTTGCTACTGCACTGGCTTTCACTGGAAAGAAGAAGATCCTCATGTTTAATAAAGGTAAGGCCTGCGCTCTTCCACATCGGAGCCTTTTTTTGACTGCTTTCAACTCCAGGATATCACGGATCGACAATTTCAGGACGAACTGCCTCGAACAAACCATCCATCAACCTCCCACACGACTTCATCGTCGGCACATACAACGACGCCCAAGGCACTGAATCGCTCATCAAATCTCTGCCCAAGGATTCACTCGCCGCGATTTTACTAGAACCCATGCTCGGGTCTGGGGGTTGTTACCTCGCAAGCAGCGAATTCCTGTCCACGCTCCGCCGTCTGGCGACCGACCACGGGGCGCTCCTGATTTTCGACGAAGTCATGACTTCGCGTCTTCACTACCACGGCCTTGGTAGCCAGACGGGCGTCACACCAGACCTGATGACACTCGGCAAGTGGGTCGGCGGTGGAATGAGCTTTGGAGCATTTGGGGGCAGGAGGGACATTATGCAAATGTATGATCCGCGCGACGGCGCACTTCAGCACCCAGGCACCTACAATAACAACTGCTTCACGATGAGTGCTGGTGTGGCGGGCTGCAAACTCTTGGATCAAGAGAGGATCAATGAGTTGAACGCGCTGGGCGACGGCATGAGGATGGCGATTGAGACTGTACTGTCTAACCACGACGTCTTGCAAGGATGCACGATCCCATCTAGCCCAGTGACAGACGACATGCACACTGCAGACCACCCGCAGCGGCCGCCGAAGATGTTCGTCAAGGGCAAGGGAAGTCTCTTGACCATCCAATTCGCGGGTCCCGCGGCCGCTGACTTCCAGGAGCTCTTCTATTTCTGGATGCTGGAGCGAGGCTTCTACATTGCCCCTAGGGGATTTATCGCGCTCAACATCATGCTAACGGAGTCAAGTGTAACCAGCTTTGTGGACGCTCTTGACCTTTTTGCCGCGAAGTGGCACCATGAATTGTTATGGTGAATGAATGGGATGGAGTCTTTGTGGATAACGTCCTCAAGAGCCAGCCTATACATGTTATATTCCCCCATCACGTATGCATGGCACTTGGTACGCAGGAAAGGGGCGGCTACGAAGAAGGACAACATCTGCCATGTGCCGCCATTCAAGAAGCATGAGGCTACCGCGTGTAGAAATCTCAATATCAATCACGACTACTTGAAGACTTCCCTGACTTTTCCCATTCCCTACTCTCCCACCCCATCATCATACCAGTTGGAACGTTCTGTCTGGGTACCTTGTGCCACTATCACACAGCAGCCATCTCTGTGTCCAAAGGGGGACTTGTGAGCACCTCCGGTGAATTCCGCCTGGGTCAACAGGACTAGCTCGATACCTGAATTCTCGCAAATTGACAAAGTAAAGAGGGCAAAAAACAGGCTGTCGATTTCTGCAGGAATCACGGGCGTCCAACACGCCACGCTGACGAGGCGGGCGCCCGTCAAACTTCCCAAATTATGAAGAAATAAAGCTTTTCACCAGTCGACAAAGGCACAGGCTCAACATGCCTCGAATTCGCGAGGCGGCTGACACTGGCTCGTGCAGATGTCGTGGATCGACGAAGCTTCTCAGCCTCTCTCACTTTTACAGGATAGACAATCCTGGTGCATAGTTTGGACACCTACCTCCCTACGCTGAAACACACTTCCTCAGATAAACATCGTAGATCGACGGAGCCTTTCAACCTTTGTCGCTTTTGCAGGATACACGATCCCACTGCATTGTTTGGACAACTCCCTCCCTTCACTAACACCTCTCGATGTAGACATTGTAGATCGACGGAGCCTCTCGACTTGTGTCGCTTTTGAAGGATGTCAGCTGTCTGACCGCGCACCATCCCATTATGAGACTTTTCTCACCCATCGAAAAAGCTAAATATCAACTCATCTCGATTTCGCATCGAAGAGACAATCGTCTTGACAACATGTCCGTGGACACCACCTGCTTCATGAGTCCCAAGACACCTCAACTTGAGTATCCATCTCCTGTGGATCGACAAAGGTGATGGAACAACATGCTTCATTTTCCGCACAGGTAGACAAAAGCAGAGCCCCTGAGAGTCAGGGGCACCGAAATGAAGAAATAAACAGACTTTCAATTCCGTAAGATGAAGATAGTCTGGCTGGCGTCCCAGCCTTGTAGACGAGGGACAAGATCAAAGAGTCAAAGACTGAACGAGCATGTTGCTCAAGCAAGATCAGACCTGCTGGGAGTGAGTCTGCGAGCCAACAAAGGTGGGATGGACAACATGCTTCAATTTCGCGAGGAGACAACAGCATGCACCTGTGTTATGTACAACCCCCCTGTGCCGTCCAGGTGTCCGTCCTCACAAAAAAAATTCAAGAAAGGAAGGGAGGGATGGATTTTACGAATCGACAAAGGCACTCTGAGCGCGAGCTGGATTTCGGTAGGCCAGAAGACGACGAGCTCTCTTATCGCTGCCTCTGCCTCCATCGATGCTTCTAGCTGAAGCTAACTGGAGGGATGAGATCCCTGATTGAGGCCTTGATAGATCTATGTCAGTAGATGATGGATTAGCGTCGCTATCGCTGTTGCTGTCGATGTCTTTGCTGAAGACTCTAGCCAGCTGTCTGTGCTCAGGACCTCCAAATTCGACGTAGAGGGGGAGTGGTTTTGCGAACCGACAAATGCATCATGGCCGCGATTTTGAATTTGTAGAAGAGCGACGAGTTGTCGCTGATAGACTGGCAGCACGTGAGAAGGTCATTGTCGCCACCGCTATGGAGCCATTCCTTCCAAGGACAGCACGATGGAGAGAACGATAGGTATATATATGCCTGACTGCCTGCCTCTCTCTCTCGTCCTACTGTTTATCCAGAGTTGACATGTATGTCTGGTTGATCTGTTTGTCGCTCTCTCGGTACAGGACTCAATCCTCAACGACAACACCAACTCATAGCTCACCCCTGTCGTAAAATCAAACATGCCTACTTGAGTCTGTCGATTGCATATTTCCTTCCGTCCGTTTCCGTGGATCACCGTGAACGTGAACGTTTCGTTGCTTGCGTTTGTTTAAAATTCTCGATTCTGACCATCGACAAACAGGTCTTCAGGACCGTTTATCTGTATCCCTTGCACCCACCTACCAACAAACAAAAGACAACGAATCTTGCTGTCTCGAATAGGTTGGAAAAAGGCACCATACTCTCAGATAGAAACTTGGTTCATTTCAGACTCAAAACATCCACAAATCCACACAAAACCAGTTGTCACCGACGTCCTCGCTTGTGCCATCAAGTGTTCGGCTAAAATATACAATGAGCACCGTCCTTGGATCCCCTCAGCGATCTTCATCGCAGACAACCGCTCGGACAAATACAGTGCCAAAGCCCTTTGAAGTCTTCCTAGCCATTGGCAATATCCTCATCTGGCTCCTAGCGGCCTATGTGATCTACCTTCACATCCGAGCAAGATGGGACCTCGAGGCCTGCTATCGCGCACACATCCAGGCAGAAAGACAGGCCCGGGGTGAGGCAGAGAAGCAGTTGAGACACCCTGTGCGTGCAGATAGCCGAGGACACAAGCGCAAATTGCGACAGATCCAAGAAGAGGCCGAAGAGGATCAGGATTGGAGAGACGAGATGTTGGACTGGCACGGTGAGCTGGAGGATCTGTCGCTCAGAGGGATGGAGGTCGACACAGACACCGAAATCGAGGCACGAATGGAGATTATGGAGATTCCCAACCGGCAAGAATTCGAGCGAGATAATGGGAAATTGTGGAGGTAGTGAAAAACTGGCGCTACTCGCTGGCGACAGTCGTCACTGCGAATTCGTCTTGTGGCGGCTCACCAAGTGCTGAGGGTTGAGGTAACCAAGCGTTCGAACTGGGAGAGCTCTCTGGCTGGAAATTTGCGGCTTTCGAATTCGTGGAGGGTGTGAGAGGAGATCATCAGTCTGTGGTGCAAGGAATTGCTGAAAGCCGTCGAGAATAGCGCTCCAAGAGCTGCAAGAGGCGCAGTGTACGCTCCAACAAAGAATGTGTCGTACTCTGCTCTCTCCCAAATGCGGTATGCAGGATGCTGTCCATCAAATGGCCCCGTAACCTCCATGTTCCATGGTCCAAGGAGTTGCTGAGAGATCAATCATAAACATAGCTGATCTGCTAGGCGTCAATCCCAGCTCAATGCTCCATTCCGAAGCAGATGCGAAGACCACGGCCCGTCTGCCATGAGCAACGCGTTATGGGAATCTCTCGATAGGATCATCACCGGCCCCAAAACCATCCTTTCTGTTTGCCCCCTTCTGTTTCTCTCTTGCTCTCGTCAAGTTCCTTCTTTTTTCTTTCAGCCTCTAGCCTCTCCTTTTCCTCCTGCCGTCTGGTCAACTCAATCACCTCCATCCTCCGTCTCTCGACGGCAGCAAGTTCCTCCTCCTTTTGCTTCCTCCTTGCCAAGATACCCTGGAACCATTCTTCTCTTGCGGCATCTTCCTCGGCCTTTGTGGCGTATTGAATCATACAGCTGTTCATGGCCAGATGCTGTTCGCGGCAGGTCCAGGCGACGCTGATGGTGCGGCCGCGGGCGCAGTCGGCAAAGTCTTTGATCACATCGGCACATCTGGTGCGGACTCGTTTGTGAAAAAGATTGCGGACCTCGGCTTCTTGCGAGGCGGATAGAGGAAGAGGATTGTGTAGGTTGTTCTGAGGTTGTGGTCTGCCGATGGTCGGGGTTGGTTGCTGTGTCGCTTCGGGGATGATGGACGGAGCCATCTCCATTGTTCTTGCGGTGTAGTATATGAGCAGGTGGCTAGATGAATGAGCCTAAAGGTCAAATTGTGATGTATTCATGGCAAGTCTGAGTAGCGTGATTGAGGTAGTCAATGGTGAGCAAATAAATTGATCTGCAGAGCTCGAACGACCTCGAGGAGCAGGTGTGGAGAAAGCTACGGATGCGGACTCGCAGTGTACACGAAATTTCCCCAAATGCCTCTAATATTTTTTGTTGCCATACACAAATCAGTGTTTTCTACTTCCTGCCACTCCTTCTTCAACCTCTCTCTCGTCTCCTCTCGTGACCGCAAGCACAATGTCGTCTCTCCGCAACGCCGTCGCTCGGCGTCCACACAAGGAACGCGCGCAACCGGCCTCCCGCGAAAAATGGGGCCTGCTCGAGAAGCACAAGGACTATTCCCTCCGAGCGCAGGACTATAACCTCAAGAAGAAAAAACTGGCCCAGCTGTCACAAAAGGCCAAGGAGCGCAACCCGGATGAATTCGCCTTTGGCATGATCACCCAGGGAAGGGCGGGGTTGGGGAAACACAAATCCAAGCAGACTAGTGGGGATGATGAAGATGGGAACAAGAGAGCGAGAGAAGGTGTTCCATTGAGTCACGACGCGGTCAAGTTGTTGAAGACACAGGATGCTGGGTATCTGAGGACTGTAGCCGCCAAGGGCAGGAGGGAGATCGAAAGATTGACGGAAGAGGTGGGCATGGATAGCGTCACCCGCGGAAAATCGAAGCCAGCCACGAGGAAAACATTTGACGATGACGACGATGACGAGCCTGAAAAGACGACCAGGGGAAAGAAAAGAAGTTGGATTGGGGAAATTCTACAAGACCAAACTGTGGAGGGTGAAGCAGATCAACCAATGCACGAGGTGAAGATGTTGGCGGCAACAACAGTGATCCACGTCTCTGACGACAAGGACAAACCCTCAAAACCCAAATCCAAGAAAGCCCTCCTAGCGGAACAAGACGCCCTGAGTCGTTTGCGTGCCGAGCGTAAAAGGAGGAAACGCCTTCAAGATATGCGGGTGGCAAAGCTCGAGGCCTTGAAGACCCGGCAGCGGGAAATCCTCGCCGCTGCTGATCAGCTGGAGTTACAGCGGGCAAAGATGGCAAGGACGGTGGGTGGAGTGAACAAGAACGGCATCAAATTCAAAGTTAGAGAGAGAAAGAAATGAGAGAGAGAAAAGTCTACTTTTGTCACGACCAAAAAAAAAGAGCCATGAAAATGAGCAATGATATCTAATGAGGGTCTGATATTTCCTCTTTTGCGGGACAGAGTCCACAGTCACTGTTCTATATCAAGCAACACCGAACACTTGAATGCTGCTGCTTCACACACCCGCCGCCACAGCCTGGGTGATGACTTTGCTGAAATCGGCCTCTCTTCCCAGCAACCAACTCATTCCCTCGACTTGTTCCTGACGGAATTTTTTACTTCCCGTCAAAAAGGGGAAGAATCCCCAATGCCCGTGCGGCAGACCAGGGTAGACATACATCTTGGTCTTGATCCCGTTCTCCTCTCGCAGCACGCGCTCATAAATGATGCCCTCGTCTCTCAGCGGGTCCATCCCGTCAATCTGGAATAGCGCTGGCGGAAGGTCTTTGTGGCCTTTAGGATGGTTGAAGGGAGCATACCAGACACCGTCAGTCTGGTCGGGCGCATACCCGCGCATGAACATGTCTATCGCCGCAACAGGCAGGACTGGTGCATTTTTGTTCTGCTCGTACGACAAGTAAAATTCCTTGTACTTATCTGGGATCTCGTCTGCCGGCAGCACTGCAGGAATGGCAAGGTACTGGCCGGTCAAAGGGGGAGACAATTTCTCGTCTCGCGCCACATGAGCCAGGACAGCCGTTATATTTCCTCCGGCTGAGGTGCCGCCAATGACAAAACCAACCGACGGATCGGCGCCCCAGGACTTTGCATTGGCCGCCGCCCATTTCAAGCAGTCCCAAGCGTCTTTGGGCGCATACGGAAACTTGAACTGTGGTGCAAGCCGATATGAGGCCGAGATGCAGACGGCACCGAAGGCCTGGACAAAGTTGCGACATGTCTGCTCCTCGCCCTCTGGCGCGCCAATGCAGAACCCACCACCGTGGTACATGACGATCAAAGGGCTGCCGTTTTTGGGAGGGTTTGTCGGTTGATAGAGCTTTGCCCGCAGCTTGGTACCGTCCCTCGTGGGATATTCCAACTCAGACTGCTTGACCTCCGGCGGAGACGGGCCCAAGAGCTTCATGGCATCGGCATTCCGCTTGTCCACCATGGCCTTAAAGTCGTCAAGACTGCTATAGTCCGGTGGGGGTAAGTTTGCTTTTTCAAGGAACTAATTTCAATTCTGTCAGAGGACGCCCCGCGCCGAAAGACTTCTGTTCGTTAGACAAACCGCTTTGAGCTCGGGGTCTATCTGCCCCAGGGAGAGAAGATACTCCTTGTCTGTGTACGACATGATTTCTGCTATGAATATCCTCGGATATCAGGCCAAGAGGATTTGAGGAATGCTTGAAGTTGTAATCGATTTTTTTTTGTGAGACCGATGGGGCTATCGGAGTTCTTTTTGTATGTAATCTGAAAGAATATGACCCTCGGTGGGACGCCTCTTAATTTATTATTTTGTACTCGGTACCATTCTCACAGTGTTCAGTCGCGGGGCACAAGAGACTCGGGAATAACCGATGGCGCAGAAACAGTCCAACCGACCTCGGCTTTTTGACTTATTCGAGGTTCTCGACATAATATGAGTAAAGGGAACAATGCGGGGGATGTCGTCTTCTTGCACCAACTACTCGTATATCCCGGTGCGACTCGGTATACATTTTGAGGTATCGATCTAGTAACCCTCAGTAGATGGATGACTGGACCAGTAACTTGAACAGCAGCTGAACGCCCTGCCAGTCTTGTCAGCAAGTATCCACAACCATCTTCGAGTCTCTCAGAGCGTGAAAGAGAATCCTCCTAATAGCGTGAATGCGACTATTATGTGTTCGCCAACTCCAATGGCTCACCACGCTGGTGGTACAAGCCTGTTTCGAAACATGTCGAAACGCGAATGAACCTAGGGGCGCGAGCAGAAGACATTGTGATTGGAGACGAGGGCATCTAGGGGTCTTGTATAAACTCTTCACTTTTGTGACTTTGATCTTCTCTTCTAGCTCGTTGGGTACGTAAGATGCCTTCGTACCGAGTATATCTTAACCTTAACTCGGCCACGGCTTCCCACGCCGGAATGTTCATCTTACCGCCCCCTCTTCGTTCTCCGTATTCACTGTCACTTCATGGGATGCTGAAACATCATCGCGACCTGGGCTTACCTTCACGTGGGTATCTTCAACGGTCATCAACTGCCTGTTTCTCCAGCTCAAATCTCCCGACTTCAAATCCTCCCAGTACGAGGTAGCGTACGATCAACTCGTAGGACCGATTACATGATGGGTGTGCCCGTGTCAGACCCGATCGACGGTGCCAGCCTCCTCTCATTGGTCATGATCTTCTGATCATCCCCAGGCAGATGATGCGACAAGTAGGGAGGAGCTTGGCCCTGACAGTTGTTGTAGCACGGCAAGCCACCAGATTTCTAGCCGCGAGCGACTAGAACAATCTTGGTAAAGTCGTTAGGACTGGCCACTCTCGGGGAAAAGAAGTGTGGTAGCCCGGCTGGAGCGACATCCCAGGCAGCTGGGCGCCAACTGCGGTTTCGGCGGAGCTTCGTCGACTCGATCAGGGAAGGGCGGACAGTTTGTGGCACAGTTTAGGTAAGGCTGGTGGTTCTTTGGCGATGTGAACATGGCGGCGCCATCCCGCGGGAATGGGTCAAGGATGTGTTGAGGGTCGTTCCATTGTTTTCCAATCGTTCGAGCACAGCACCGGTGGAAAATGTCAACAGGGGTATTCAGGGAGGCGAGCAGGGGTGGAGTTTGGGGGAGAAGGAATTCCCAGTGGGAAAGTGATTTGCGAGTAATACGGGGGTGATGGGGGCTGAGGAGAGGAGAAGCAACGGGCCGTGTCGAGTCGAGTTGGGACGAAGGATGGAAAACACCGTTGATGAGAGAGACATCACTGCTGGACACAGTGTACCGAGTACTCTCGTACGAGTCCTCCATATGTAGTGTGGGCGGTGGTACGGAGAGAGTAAAGAAGGAAAAAGCAGACCACCCATCACGCCCTTGTCACATCTCATTGCGGTTTGGTATCGATCTGGTCTACCTGCTTCTGGAGACTCTGGAGACTGCGCAAGTCTGCATAGTCTGTAGTCTTGCATCTGCACCTGCAGCTGCATCTGCCACTGGGGGGCCCTTTCTTCTCAATTCTCCACATGCTCTCGCATCTCTGGTGTGGTTTATGTGTGTGGGCTGCTCTCAAAGACGAAAGCTTTTTTCGCTCTGCCTTTGCTTCTCGTTTCCTGTTTCTTTCCACACACCTCAATTCTTTTCTCCCACTGGAGCAGAAATCCCGCCACAACAGACCCCGACGTCTGCACATACGCACATCACACCCACCGCCACCCACGACGAGACACAACTTGACTGTCTGTGTCTCTTGGATCTCATTGATTTGATTGCTCGTACTGCTGTACGCCTGTACACTATTGAATCTGAGAAAATCCTCATTGGGGGCTGTTCCTCTTGTCGCGCTTCCATCCCTTGCTCATATCCCATTGATTGGCTCTCTTTGCACCACAACCACCAACCACACCTCTCCCCTGCTACCGCCGCCATTGATTGAGTTGATCAACACCCAACAATAGCAGCCACACACTGGCTCGCGAGCCTCGTACCATCCCGCCTCCTTCGTTCGCTTTGTCGTCGTCCTATCGCTGTCACCTGTCTCCCTGTGGAACCTGGGGAAAGAAACTGTCAACTCGTCCTGCGCTGGTGGTATGAGCGTCCTTCCCATTTGCCTCCTTGCTTGCTGCCATTGCTTTTTGTCCTTCCTACAGACCTGACAGTCCCGTCCTAGATATCCCTCGCTGTCGTCCTCGGCGCTGG